CATTTTTGAGAGAAAACATTTTCACTCTGATTTCAAAATAAGTTTTCCCTTTCAGATTGCTTTGTTCTTGAATTTAAAAAAAAGCACAAAAATAACTCCATAGCTAACCAGAAAAGTGGTGCTTTGTTGATAATTACACTAATAATCAGTGTTTGATCCATAAAAGGAAAAAAAGATAAACAAAATCAAAGGGATGAAACATGCATAACATTTCAAACATGTGAAATGGTATTTTAAAAGATGGGATTGTGAGTTGATAGAATTATTGTTATGGTTCAGTTAAGATGTCTTCTCATGCACTAACCCAAACAAAGTCCAAGGCCAAATGAATAAAGCAAATAAATCTTACAAGCAATATTAGTTCTGTTGGTTTTGGAGGCCTTCTCCATGGAGTGTGCCAAGCTCCTGCTGCCATCAGAGTAGAAACTAAAATGAGGCACCATAATTATATTACTAAATAAATCTTAAAACCGCTTGAGCAAAAGCTTGCTGATGCAACTTCCGTGATTTGGCTGACACAAACTCTGAAGTTTCTTTGGCAAAGTCAGGGATTCATCCCAGAGCTCCACTGTATGAGACCTCTGTATACAAAGGAAATACTCCTTATCTTAGGAATTTATAATTTAAGGATGACAGGCAAATGTGCTGTTATTGACTGAAATCTGCCTTTGCACAAGAGGACAGCAGTGTGGAGTGTTAGGAGTGCAGGGGTTTCAAACAAGCATCTTGGACAATCTCTAAAAGAGAAGAAACCACCTTGAACTTTAAGGATCGGAGAAAACAAAAGCTTAAAGAGGATTAATGATGGGAATCTTTGGGAATAAATTCAGACACTTCTTTGAGAATTTAAAAAGCAACAATCGATCCAGCTAAGAAAAAAAGAGGGTGGCTTCTGTTTTAAAAGATTTGAAACAAATAGAAAAGGACAGAAAAAAGGCTTTTAGATTTTAATTTACTTTGTTGCATGCAAAGTCAATTTCCTTTGCATCACTTGTTCAACATTAAATATACTGCTTATAGGTAAGATTTTTATAATTTCATACTTTTACGGCTTTGAACATTGCAATATTGCTGGATCTACTTCTGATCCGTTTGCTGGTTGCTCATGAATGTGCACACAATTAGAGTTTTAATTTATTACATCAGTGTGACCTGCAGCGCTGATTGTGAGAATGAAGATTCTGAAGTCCCTTTACGTTTCCCTCTCCCACAAACAATGCTAATTAGTATCATCTGTACTGAGGTAAAGACTTGGGAATTTATATCTGCCACAGTTGGAGCAAAAATCTCTTATTTCTTACCAGCAGTCATACTATTAATGAAAAGTATTGACCAGGGATTTCAATGAAAATGTAATCTGAGACTTTGCTTTTTCCTCACTTAGAGCCATGAAGGGATTTAATTAGGTCTTTGTTATTGTAATAATTTCTTTATGCACCACATCATCATGCAATTAAAAAGTATGGAAAGTGAATTGAAATGAAATATGCATCTTTATCTTATATTCAAATGTATCAGCTTTTTATCTATGCAGCACATAAAATAAGACAAGTACATTTATTTCCAATCATGCTATAATGATGAAAAAGACAGATATTGATCAAAGGGAAAGCAATTCACACATACAAAAATGATTACTTCATAAATAGAGGTTTAGATAATTAATTAGAATAGCAGTGAAAAGTTTGAGAAAGCCGAAAGACCTGTAGCCAAACTTGGGTAAATTAATATCTGATGGTTAAGCTTTAGGTAATGGTCTATGAAGTTGTTCATCATTACCGTTATTGGGGAGTGGCAGCCAAGCGGTTAGGACATAGAGCTTGGAGTTCTGAGTTCGAGCCCCACTCCCACATTCTGCCACTCTTGGTCTCTGAGCAAAAACTTTAACCCCACTTGTGCACCCCATGATGGCAGCCCACTGCTCCCCAAGGGGATGGGTTAAATGCAGAGGTAAATTTCTCCAATGTGAGATCAATAAAGTTCAATTATATCATATTATAAGTATTGGAAGTTGGATCGGGGGGTAACTCATCCCACATGGAGTACTTTCTTGTGATTGGCTTATACAAGGGAGCTTTGTGATTGGTGGCAAACCATTCGCTATTTAATAAAATGCATTTTTGTATCGAGCCATGTCAGGAGAGTCTCAAAAATCTACACATAATTGCAGTGAAGTTTAAAGACAACTGGTACTTTATAATTTAATTGTTTATGTACTAGAAATTGTGTGCTTGTGTGAATCGTTCTGTGTGTATGAATCTGGTCCTATGTCTGTCTGGATTTTTTTGTGCTTGCGTGAATCATGCTGTGCATGTTGTGGATTTTGTCTTGTGCATGTAAATCACATATGTGTATTCGTGAAAAATTGAGATCGATCTAGCTACGTAGTTGGGTGTCATTGCAAACATCATGATTAGAGATTAATTTCAAATTACCTCATTCAAAAAAATAAAACTATGAATACAGGGAAAGTTGAAGTTTGGTTCATTATGATGCAAGACCTTTTAGAGCACTCAATGCACACTTCATGTAATTGAAGTAAAGAAGAATGAATAAATGCTTTAGGATATTCGTGAAAATAATCTATAGATATAGCAACCATATAGAGAAAGAATGGCTGCTGGTATGATCAAGCTGGTCCTCAAACTTTAATCCAATTAAAAAGCTTTAAATCAGATGGCAAAGTCTGAAGGATCGCACAGACATGATGACAATGTTTATAAAATTAAGAATGCATTAACATCAAACCTAAGCCCTGCATGGGGCAGGCATTTCCACTCTGAACAAAACAGAATATAGAAATAGTCTTTATTGTTATTCAGTGAGGAAATAAAGTCCTACCATCAGTAGAGTGACAGGCAAGACAAAGCATAAAGGTTCACACGAAAGTAAAAATACAAAAACAAAAAGGGAACAAAGAGAGGCTGTAGTCTAAGGGCAAAGTTACAGCCTAAGAAAAATACTAATTCGAAGAAAGCTGCAGCTGAATAAGATAATTTTGACATGTGCAACTGCAAGTATATTTGTGCATGAAATGATCCAAAGACTATTCACTAGAAATAAAAAAAAACTGCACATAACTGCATGTATGTAAACATTCGTTAAGCTAAATGAGTGCAGTGATGGTTATAAAGTCTATTAGCTATCACTACAAAGGAGCTGTTATTAAGCTTAATCTGCACTGAAGTACCAGCTCCTGGTTCAAAGAGGCTCTTTTGCCTTCCTGGTAAGCCTATCAAACTACTTTCTCTCTGCTGTGAATTAGCTGTTGCTCAAACAAATCACACCATAGATGATGTTTGATGTCACCACAGAGTCAGAAAAGATTTCAACCTGCACCTCAAGATATCATGACCAACCAGGTCAGTAAAGGTATTTAGTTAATTTTATCGGTTTTAGTTCCCACTAACTGTTTCCTCTGTATCGCTGCTTTTGCTACTAATAACCTAATTTATTGACCAATTTAAATGGATTTTTATTTTTTATTAATAACATCTAGTTTGAATTTTATGTTTACCGTCATTGCTCACTTAAAGGTATAGAGGATGACCTTTTATTTCCAGATGGATCATCTAAATAAGTGGTCCTCCTAATTGTCAATCATTCTGGTGATATGTTCACGTAATGCCGTCCTACGTGCTCTTCCCTTAAGTTATATTTTCTGTGCATGTGCACGTTTATCTGTGGTGAGCTATGTTTCAGACAGTCATTGAAGCTCGCCTTTCTCACTGCAGTTCTTTGAAAACGTCTGAGGGTCATAAGAGAAAAAGTGTCTACGAAGTGTATGAGAACAAAAGAAAGGCCTCGGAAGCGGGAGATCCCCTCGCAAAGCACTATGGGATTTGCTGTCACAACTGCCCGCTGTCGCCATAGGTTGTCGCTACCAGACAGTGGCGACTAATAACTAAGATGGTGCAGGCACCGCAAGGGGGAGGAGGAGGTACATGACAAACGGGGAGCAAAAAGAAGTGATCATCTGTCCGAGTGGTCAGTTAACCATGTTTGCTATAAAGTCCTCTATACAGTCCCCACTCTATATAGTGATTGAGGGATTTAGGGGTTAGGGCGGACATTCAGGCACAGTAAGCTTGGATGAACTCTGAGAACAGCAGCTTTTAAACAGAACGTGCTCAAGGAGAAATGGGCTCGTGCTTGCTCTCGCACGCATTTAGTAGGCTTTTCCTCTCAGGAGCGGGTACAGGATTGTGCATGTGCATTTTTTTAAAAGTGGAGATGGCGGGTCTTTTAAAAAAATCAGAAAAATCCTCCATAATGCCTTTAAACTTTGTCTGAAATCCACAAATGAACTGCTATTTCCCTGCTGAATTGCAATCAAAATCACACTCAAACTGCTGCATCAGATATCGCCTCCCTTGCCCATTTATTTGTACCCCAAAGGATGCTTGACAGACCAGTGCTGCAGGTTTGTGCCAGAGGGAATCCTGTGTTGCAGTATGACCTCCTAAAGTATTGTTGCCACACTCAACCTTTCTGCAGCCTAACATTTCTAGAGGAAACAGCTCTTTTTTTCAGCCCCACTATTTTTTTTCCCTCAGGAAAGCCACTGTTTAGGCAATAAAACATTGTTATAGCAGCAAATCAGTTTCATTTTTTATATTTCTCATCATATGTAAAAGTTAAGCAGAAATACATTTGAAATCTAGATATGTATAATGGCTATTCAATTGCAAAACATAGAACAGCAAAGGCTGGGAATTTCCTATATTTTTTAAGAATAAATTTTCTTTTTTATATACTTGTTAAATTTTTTTTTTTTTTTTTTATCTAACTGTCGAGAAACACCACAAGCTTGTTTGTTGTTAATATCTACTAAAGTGTTATCACTGCACTGGAATACATCACATTAACGTAAGGATTTACATTTTTTAAAAACAACATAAATGTGCAAATACAGTAATATGAGATTATGATTGAATAAAGTAGGCAAGTACAATGTTAAGTTCATTTGTTTTATTATTAAATATTAGAGCTTAACTTACCTGGCCTGATGCTTCTCTGTTAGGACATGAGGGAGAAGTGTTACCAGAAGACCTTGACTGTGTGCTTTTTCTTAGTGAGGGAGCAGACGCTGCTGCTGTTTTAAATGGAGAATAAGAAGGTGGGAGGCATACAGAGAGAAAGAGAGAGAGAAGGAGAGAGAGGATATATCAGAGATGTCTGTAGAAAAGATGGGGAGCCAATGAGGCGGCAGAGAAACCAACAAATATTAATGTCTGGGTTGGACTTGGTGATGACGTTTGATCAGTTAGTGACTGGTGGTGGAGTCTGGTGGAAAGCAGGGGCTTTTTTCCATTTGGTTGTTTGTCCCTCAGCTTTTAAACATAATTCATATCACTGTTTTTTTCTTTGATGAGCATCTGTTAAATTTGTTATATGGCATATTTGGGATTAATAGTTTAAAAAGAAAGAAATATTGAAATTTAACAATTTAAAAGCTTTTTAACTGCATAGAAATGAAATAAATATCTGTTTAAAAACACAAGCTTACTGTACTAAAAATAACTACATGTTTTAGCTGCATAAAGATGTAGGAAGACCGAGGCTTGTTGTCGCACAGGTAAGTTGTCACACTGCAATTATCCTCTACACCAGAGGGCATAATTAAAAACTTGAGTTCTAGTTTTCTTCCTTTGCATGGTCTGGTCTTATGGACTGAGTGAGAAGAGGACAGCAAATTGTACGTTTAGATGAGCTCCAATTAAACTGTTTCCACTACCCGTTTTAACAAGCTTTATTCAGATAAAAATCCAAACAGACACCTAGTCATACCTCATTGATTGTTCTTATTTAAGCTCATGTTAAGCTAGAGTTAGAATTGGCAAACATGGTCGTTTGGGATCATTTGGTGCAACCAAAAAAATAATTTTCAAAAAATCCTTTAAATGACCACATCCTAATAAAAATGTCACTTTATTTTTACAGAAAAAAAGAGGTTTAAAAGAGGGGAGAAAGTGAGCAGATGGTCAGAAGTTACAAAAGAAAAAAAAGATGATGGCCGTGCAGCAGCACCTGATAGGATGCTGGGGGCAGTCGGGCAGGTGACCCCATGGTCACAAGTCCATCAGGAGTGCAGCGAAGGACTTTAGTGTCAACTACCATACTTTGGCACGATACTGTAAAACATTCATACCAGCTGAAATTCAGGGTCAGACAGCTATCCCAACTACGTACAGTGGTACGGCAGATTTTCAGCACAGAGATGGAACTGCATCTTCAGAACTATATAAAGAGATTCTCTGGCATGTATTTTGGTTTGTCTCCATCAGAGGTGAGAAAACTGGCATGTGAAATTGCAGTGGCAAAGGGCCTGAAATACTGTATGTTACTCTATCTCTGATTCTTGGATAAAGAAACAACCAAGGAAAACACTCAGCTTTTATGACATCCCTGGGATTGTAGCAACTGCTTATCCAATGGCTGCGACCCCACTTAACATTCAGGCCGCCTTTCATGCAAAAGGGATTCAGCTGTACAACAGGGATGGGTTCTTGGAGGCAGAATTTGCTCCATCTTACGTCTCAGATCTCCCCTACCAGGACCCAGCTCTACCAAATCCAAGCACCAACTGGGCCAGCAATGGACCAAGCAGCTGCTGCAGGCCCAGGCGCCAACCAAGAAGCTATTCCAGGCCCTAGTAAGCCTTCTCTTTACTCTAGAGAATATTAGGCCTTACTCAAACGCTGGTCTGAAAAAAAAGTTCCCCAGCAGAGAAGGAAGGGAAACATATATTCTCCCTGACACACCGTTGAATGAGGCACTTGAAGCGGAAAGGCAGGCACAAGAGAAGAAAAGACTTCAAAAAGAACGGCAAGGTTACTGTCAAGTTTTGTAACGTGCAATTCCCCACTTAAAAGGGATAGTCTCTATTGTGAAACTTAACTGCATTTTACTCAAAGAGCCTTCAATTTAGTTGATCCATCTTTATTTTTTCATGATGGCCACCATAGCCTTCCATTCATATAGGTGAAAAACCTCAAAAGAAACAGAAGCATGTCTATTGCATTTTGATATTAACAATAGAAATGCATTGTGAAATAATTAAACAGATTTCAACCCCTTTAAACTGATTATTCCCAAAGCATAATAAATAGTAAATAGTTAATAGTAATTTAACACCAATAAATAAATTAGCATATTTGTCAACATTTTATTAAATATATTTTTATTCAAAATTCAATTCAACATTTATTCTTTTTCAAATTCTACCATAAACAAACACCAAGCGTATTTTTTTTAAACTGTCCAATACAACAATCTATCAGGGTCCATGTGCAGCTTCAATGAGTTTAGGAAATGAACAACAGAATTGTGAGGCTCAGTTTGTAGAAAGCTTGCATAGTTCGGACTTAAAATGATCCACCAGCTCTGTTTGCTTCTTATGCTGTGGCACTTCTTCAAACATGAGCGATAGGTCGGCCACACCAAAAGTACCTGCACTCTCTGATTGCTAGGAGATTGAGTCCCCTTGGATTCTCACCAAGCCACAGGGGTGCAGCAATGGTGAGTGGCTACCTCACAGTTCACCAGAACATTTACCAAATTTAAAGTGCAAAAGAAGCAATGAACAGGGAAAAAGCAGAGGGAAGATACAGTACTAAATGAAAAACTCCAGGTGACTCCTCATTGGAAGAAGATGAGTCCCTGTGTCTGGTCTGCATAGAACGACTGACAAACAGCTGCCCAGGAGAAATGTTGTTGCAGGGCACAATGGCGTAAATATCGCTAAGATGAGACTGAAGTTGCCTAGGGGCCCCCAACATCTTAGGGGCCCCGTCACTGACACCTGGTTGGCCCCCCACACAATTGTGGACTAAGACGTCTCTTTGCAGATGCAATGGTGCGAAAAATTCCTCTTAACTAACTATACACAGTTATTAACATAGTAATTAAAAGTACCACTGTCTGCTTTGCTATTGGTGTTGTGTTTAAACGGCTCACCATCCTGTTGAAATCTGCCATGTGTTGGGGTACAAATGAGGTCCGGCCAATCAAACTAGTATCAGGTGGGTTTAGACGGTTGGAAAAAATACACTAATATAATATGTTTCAAACTGCAATAAAGATTTTTAAGAAACAATGTATTTGAGTATTTTATTTTTACACTACGACTTGCAACTATGGGTAATCCAGAGCGCAGATTAAAACCATAACCGTTACATACAATGTGTTAGCGACGATGGATACCGAAAAGAGGTACTTAAGCAGATTCCAGAAAAGAAAAAGGAAAGAAGAGCTGCTGGAAGAACAGAAAAAAACTTCCCAAAATTCCCAAAATGAAAGAACCAGAGAAGTGGACGTTGCTGCTACAGTGTGTGAAGATTGCGACCAGGAGATGAATGGAGAGAGCGTGGGTGAGGAGGGGAGCTGTGAAACTGAAGGTAGCCCAATAAGACTAAATTTACAGCAGAATATACTAAAGTATATCCATGTCAAGTGAAGATGAAGAATGATGAAGAAGGGGCGGAATGGGGTGTTGTAATGTTGCTTACGGGCCTATTGTTGTGTCGTTACACCATTGGCAGTGCACAATATTCTAAGTATGGGCACATGAAGAATGCAACCCTAACAATTTGGTCTATGTATGCCAAAACTGCAACTTAGACAAGGAGTCTGACTAGTAATATTTTCTTTTGTTCCAGGACTAGTTTAAGTGTCAGTTTTGTAATGCTTATTGCATAATATTTAATGGTTTTTCATATTTCATGAGCAATAAAAGTGAATTATTGTCATTTATTAATTTTCCATTAAAAGATAACAACAATAATAATTTTGTCCTTATTCTATTGGCTGCTAAATCCAGTGTGACATCTTACCTCACATAGTGTGACAACTTACCCTTTGGTGGGGCAACTTGTCACATTGTGACAATCTTCATTAGATTTCTTATAACTCTGTACTGACACAAGATATGAAAATGGCATGAATACAAAAAATATACCTGAAGCTTTCATCTGGTAAATTTTTTTATTAATATATGATAATTCTGATTTTGATTCCAAGATATCAATATGAGGGTAAAAAATGTGAAAACTAGCCAAGGTCTCCCCCTAGTTCTGAGGCACAAAACGCAACTTTTATAATTTATCATTTTACAGTGGGGCAAAAAAGTATTTAGTCAGCCACCAATAGTGCAAGTTCTCCCACTTAAAAAGATGAGAGAGGCCGGTAATTTTCCTCATAGATATACCTCAACTATGAGAGACAAAATGAGAAAAAAAAATCCAGAAAATCACATTGTCTGATTTTTAAAGAATTTATTTGCAAAATATGGTGGAAAATAAGTATTTGGTCAATAACAAAAGTTCATCTCAATACTTTGTTATATACCCTTTGTTGGCAATGACAGAGATCAAACGTTTTCTGTAAGTCTTCACAAGGTTTTCACGCACTGTTGCTGGTATTTGGCCCATTCCTCCATGCAGATCTCCTCTAGAGCAGTGATGTTCTGGGGCTGTCGCTGGGCAACACGGACTTTCAACTCCCTCCAAAGATTTTCTATGGGGTTGAGATCTGGAGACCGGCTAGGCCACTCCAGGACCTTGAAATGCTTCTTACGAAGCCACTCCTTCGTTACCCGGGGCGGTGTGTTTGGGATCATTGTCATGCTGAAAGACCCAGCCACGTTTCATCTTCAATGCCCTTGCTGATGGAAGGAGGTTTTCACTAAAAATTTGACGATACATGGCCCCATTCATTCTTTCCTTCACACGGATCAGTCGTCCTGGTCCCTTAGCAGAAAAACAGCCCCAAAGCATGATGTTTCCACCCCCATGCTTCACTGTAGGTATGGTGTTCTTTGGATGCAACTCAGCATTCTCTCTCCTCCAAACACGACGAGTAGAGTTTTTACCAAAAAGTTCTATTTTGGTTTCATCTGACCATATGATATTCTCCCAGTCATCGTCTGGATCATCCAAATGCTCTCTAGCAAACTTGAGACGGGCCTTGACATGTACTGGCTTAAGCAGGGGGACACGTCTGGCACTGCAGGATTCGAGTCCCTGGCGGCGTAGTGTGTTACTGATGGTAGCCTTTGTTACTTTGGTCCCAGCTCTCTGCAGGTCATTCTCTAGGTCCCCCCGTGTGGTTCAGGGATTTT